GGGGGTCCTGGCGGGGGGGATCAGCGTGTGGAGGTGACGAGGGCCCCAGCGGGGGAGAGTCAGCATGTGGGGGGAAGCGGGGGGCCTGGCGGAGGAAGGGGCAGCGTGCGGGGGTACCAGAGGGTGGTGGGGGGCCCCGGTGGGGAAGGGGTAGCGTGCAGGGGTACTGGGGGTCGGGGGGGTCACCTTTGGCCTGCCAGACGGAGCTGAGGCCCCGCTCGTAGGCGTCGTCGAAGCGGGGGGCCGCGGGGGGCTCGAAGTCGCTGGCGTAGATACGCCCCGAGGCCAGGCTGTGACAGCAGCGGCACATGGACGTGTGGTAGCGGAGTCGCCCCTCCTGCAGGTACGGGTGGGCCAGCGCCTCCCGCGCCGAGATCCGCCGCGCCTGTGAGAGCCAGCGTGGGACCCCGGCGTCCGGGGGTGGGGACCCCCAGTGCTCCTGGGGATCCCAGCATCCAGGGGGGGAACCCCCAGCACTCTCCAGGACCCCGGCGTCCGGGGGGAAACCCCAGTGCTCCCAGGGATGCTGGTGTCTGGGGTGGGGGAACCCCAACACTTCCAGGGACACTAGTGTCCAGGCAGGGAACCCCCAGCACTCCTCAGGACCCAGGTGTCCAGGCGGGGAACCCCCAGCGCTCCCTGGGATGGGGAGGGGACCCCGGTGTCCAGGCAGGGAACCCCCAGTGCTCCCAGGGACCCCGGCATCCGGGCGGGGAACCCCCCCGAGTGCTCTCAGGGACGGGGAAGGGACCCAGGTGTCCGGGCAGGGAACCCCCAACGCTCCCAGGGACCCCGGCGTCTGGGAGGGGAACCCCCAGCACTCCCAGGGACGGGGAGGGGACCCCGGCGTCCGGGAGGGGAACCCCCAGCGCTCCCAGGGACGGGGAGGGGACCCCGGTGTCTGGGCGACTCACGGGGTCGAAGACCAGCAGGCGGCAGAGCAGGTGAACGGCCTCGTGGGTCGCCTCCCCCGACAGCAGGTGCAGCACGGACAGCGCGGGCTGGGACGGACGGACGGACATGAAGCCTGAGTGGGGCTCCCCTCCCCCAGGTCCCCCCAATCACCCCACACCCCCGGCCCCCCACTCCCCCCAGCCCCCTGCTTTCCCCATCCCAGCCCCCACATCCGAGCCACCAATTCCCTAGCCCAGGCCCCCAGCCCAGCCCCCCGATCTCAGCCCCCCAGCGAGCTGGTGGAGCTGTGCAAGCAGAGGCGGCTGCGCATTGGGAGGCTCACCAAAGAACAGCTCATTGCCCGGCTAGAGGCGGAAGATCGCGCGAATGAACTGATCCCTGTGTCTCAGGGAAGCCGCCTGGCAAATGCAGCGCAGGCACCAGTGTCTGTCCCAGCTGGGAGTGGTCAGCCGGCTGCTGAGGGCTTCCCGAGACCCCTCCTTCCTATGCCTAGGGGAAGGGTGGGGAGGAGCCCAGCGAACACCGAGGGCCCCGTGACCCCCCTGGCCAGCTGGGGATCCTCCCGGCAGAGCTCCCCGTCGCTGGAGCTGAGGCGGGTGGAACGGGAGAAGGAGATAAGGCTGTAAGAGCTGGAGTAGAGGCCGCAGGGACTGATGGAGGAGCGAGCAGAACGGGAGACACAGAGACAGCATGAGCCAGAGGAGAAAGAGAAACAACGTCAGCATGAGCTGGAACTGGCCAGGCTGAGGAGCAATGGGGCCCCGGCTGCGGTGAGCGAGGGGGGACCCAAGACTGCAAAGAGCTTTGATAAGTGCTTCCTGGCCCAGCGTAAGGAGGGGGAGGACGTGGATACCTTCCTGACGGCCTTTGAGAATACCTGCGAGCTGCTCCAGGTTGACCCTGCAGACAGGCTCCAGTTTCTCATCCCCTCACTGGACCCCACAGCCAGGGAGGTGTACAGCCGACTGAAAGGGGCGGAGACAGGGGACTACGAACTGTTCAGAAAGGCCCTGCTCCGCGAGTTTGGGCTGACCCCTGAGATGTACCGGAAAAGGTTCCGGAGTCAGCGTAAAACCCGCGAGGTCACATACCTACAACTAGCCAACCGGGCGCAGGGGTATGCCCACAAGTGGGCAGATGGGGCCCAGATGAAGGAGAACCTGGTTAAACTGATCATACTGGAGCAACTGTATGAGAGGTGCCCATCCAACCTGAGGCTGTGGTTGAGGGACCAAAAGCCAGAGAACCCGTGACACGCAGGGCGGCTGGCTGAAGAGTTTGTGGACAGTCGGTCAGGAGGTGCACAGGAGTCCCAAAGGAACAGGCCTGCTATGATGCAGAGAGAGAGAGTCACCATGGGACCTCCCAAAGGGGAAGCATGGAGAACCCCCTCCCAAGGGGAGCATCCAGCATCAGGACCAACCGACCGGCTCGAGGGGACCAACGGGACATGAGATGCTATTACTGTGGCCAGAGAGGCCACATATAGACCCAATGCCCCAAGCTCAAGGACAGACTGAGCAGACTGAACCCACACTGGGTTAACTGGGTACGGGGGCAGCGTTCCCAGGCAAGGGGGGCTGGCAGCTTATCAACTGCTCAGGAGAGAGGAGGGCCCCAGGCCAGCTCCTCTGGGGGGCTGGATGCTCCGGAAACCAGGTTCTCTGTTTACAGGGTGGGCGCGGGGCTGTCCCTGCGGAGCGAGTGCCTTGTTCCCCTGGAGGTGGATGGGAGGAAAGTCTATGGATACTGGGATACCTACCTGACCCTGACGGAGGTGGGCGGGACCCCATTCAAGGTGCCCGTGGCGAGGGTACACCTGAAATGGGGGGCCAAGGAGGCCCCAAGGACGTGGGAGTGCACCACCATTTGCCCACTGAGGTGTTGATGGGGGGGACCTAGAGGACTGGCCAAGCAACCCCCAGAATGCCCTAGTCATGACCCGTAGCCAGAGCCAGCGAGGGGCACTGCACCCTAACCTCGGGAAGGATGTCACACCAAAGGCACAGAACCCTTCCCGGGTGGGGAGGGAACACCCAAGGACAAGGCTCGGGGAGGCTGCGGCTTCCGACCCAGCCGGCAAGAGGGAGCAGGTCCCCATCCCTTCCCCAGCCGCCGAGTTCCAGGCCGAGTTGCAGAAGGACCCCTCCCTGCGGAAGCTAAGGGGCCTGGCTGACCTCAGTGTGGTACAGACCATGAGGAGAGGATGCAAGGAGAGGTTCCTGTTGGAGAAGTGGTTCCTGTACCGAGAGTGGGCTCCCCCGGGGGAAGTGGAGTCGTGGGGGATCAGGAGGCAGCTGGTGGTTCCCCAGAAGTTTCGCCACAAGCTACTGTACCTGGCCCATGACATCCCTCTCGCAGGGCACCAGGGGATCCGGCGCACCAGGCAGAGGCTGCTACAGAACTTTTACTGGCCCGGGGTCTTCACCAACGTCCGGCAGTACTGCCGATCCTGTGACCCCTGCCAGAGGGTGGGGAAGGCCCGGGACAAGGGGAAAGTGGCTTTGAGACCTTTGCCCATCATAGAGGAGCCTTTTCAGAAGGTGGCCATGGACATAGTGGGACCTCTCAGCAAGACGACCCGGTCTGGGAAGAAATACATCCTGGTGGTGGTAGATTTCGCCACCCGCTACCCCGAGGCAGTGCCCTTATCGTCCATCGAAGCAGACACTGTGGCGGATGCGCTGCTGACCATTTTCAGCCGAGTGGGGTTCCCCAAGGAAGTCTTAACAGACCAAGGGTCCAACTTCATGTCGGCCCTACTCCGGTGCTTGTGGGAGAGATGTGGGGTCTGGCACAACTGGGCCTCAGCATATCACCCCCGTCCAACGGGCTGGTGGAGAGGTTCAATGGGACGCTAAAGATGATGCTAAAAACATTTAAGAACCAGCACCTGCAGGACTGGGACAAGTACTTACCTCACCTGCTGTTCGCGTACAGGGAGGTACCCCAGGAGTCTACCGGGTTTTCGCCTTTCGAACTGTTATATGGAAGGCGGGTAAGGGGGAATGTGGTGTTGGCCGTGTGTGGACATTGGGAGGAGCAGGGAGATGACCCTTTAGTAGATCTATTCCCTAGGACAAGAGCTGGTTTCCCCCTGGAAGCAATTCCCCTCTCTGATCGGCTAACCCCTGCCCAGCGAGCTGAGATCGGAGGGGTGCTGCATCTGTACCGACAGCTGTTTTCCAACCAGCCTGGACGCACTAATCTGACTGTCCACCGGGTGCAGACAGGATCGCACCCGCCTATAAAATGCTCCCCCTTCCGAGCCACAGGGAAAACTGCTCAGGACCTGGAAAGAGAGGTCAGGGACATGCTGGCTTTGGGGGTGATCCAGCCGTCTTCCAGCCCTTGGGCCTCGCCGGTGGTGCTGGTCCCCAAAAAGGACGGGTCGATCCGGTTCTGTGTGGACTATCGGAAGCTCAATGCCATCACTGTAGCCGATGCCTACCCCATGCCCAGGCCGGACGAGCTCCTAGACAAGCTGGGAGGTGCTCGGTACCTGACCACCATGGATCTTACAAAGGGCTATTGGCAAGTGCCGCTGGATGCGGATGCCAGGCTGAAATCGGCCTTTGTGACCCCTCTGGGGCTCTATGAGTTCCTGACCCTGCCCTTCGGCCTCAAGGGAGCGCCGGCCACCTTCCAGCGCCTGGTGGATCAGCTACTGAGGGGATGGAGAGTTTTGCCGTGGCGTATATTGACGACATCTGTGTCTTTAGCCAGACCTGGGAGGACCATGTGTCCCAGGTTAAACAAGTGCTAAACAGAATCCAGGAGGCTGGGCTGACCGTAAAGGCTGAGAAGTGCAAGGTGGAGATGGCTGAAGTATCCTACCTAGGTCACCGGGTGGGGAGCGGCTGCCTAAAGCCGGAACCAGCCAAAGTGGAGGGGATCAGAGACTGGCCTGCTCCACAAACCAAAAAGCAGGTCCAAGCCTTATATAAGTTGCTAGATCGCAGGCCCTGGTTCTCATGGGAGACTTTAATCACCCTGATATCTGCTGGGAGAGCAATACAGCGGTGCACAGACAATCCATGAAGTTTTTGGAAAGTGTAGGGGACAATTTCCTGGTGCAAGTGCTGGAGGAACCAACTAGGGGCAAAGCTTTTCTTGACCTGCTGCTCACAAACAGGGAAGAATTAGTAGAGGAAGCAAAAGTGGATGGGAACCTGGGAGGCAGTGACCATGAGATGGTTGAGTTCAGGATCCCGACACAAGGAAGAAAGGAGAGCAGCAGAATATGGAGCCTGGA